TGTGCTGGTGCTCTCTCGCTCCCCAGGCTCCCCGCAGACCTGTGCTCCAGGCTAATGGCTTTTGTGTAAAATATTGATCTGTGTTTAGTGTCTTGTTTTGATTTAGTGGCAGAAGTGATGATTAACAGGTCATTAGTATTGCTCACATGGACATTCCTCATCTTTACACATGAAATTTTAGATTCCGCCTGCAAAACTGAAAAACCTTCCCCTCATTCCCTCTCTCCCTCTCTCTGAACCCTTCACCCTCTCCCTCACTCACTGTGTCACTCACTTGCTCAGTTGGGAGTAAACAGAGACCAAGTTCTGAGCTGTTGACACCCTGTCTGTTCCCCGTCTCCCTCAGGCCCCGGCTCTGCACTGCTCGCTCCTCACAGACTGGAGCCTGTGTCCCCCTCTCGCTCCTCACAGACTGGAGCCTGTGTCCCCCTCTCCTTCCTCACAGACTGGAGCCTGTGTCCCCCTCTCCCTCCTAACAGGCTGGAGCCTGTGTCCCCCTCTCCCTCCTCACATGCTGGAGCCTGTGTTCCCCTCTTGCTCCTCACAGGCCTCCAGTGTCAGACCCGGGTCTGAGGCTGGAACACGATAAAGCGATGTGGCCATCAGAGAGCCATCACAGATATCATTCCTTCCGCATCTCTCTCTCCCCCTCTCGCTCACTTTCTCCCTCCTTCGATCCCTCTCTCTCACTCTCCCACGTGGAACCATCTCCAGCCCCGTCCATGTCTGTCTGACCCTAACCTGATTGTCAGCATCCAGAGCCCTGGAGCCCGGGTACCATCTGCTGCACCTTCCCCTCCCCATCGGCCTCCAGAGCACAGAGGAGTGTGACAATTCAGCCCATCCATGTCACAACAACAACAACAGCAACATGCTTTACACAGCAGCCTTTACCGGGGCAGCATCTCAGTGCACTTAACAGAATCGGAGCCTGATGCCGAGCTGGGTGGGGGGATAGGAAGAAAGTGACCATAAGCACGGTGAATGAGTAAGGTCTTCAGTAGTGATCTAAAAGAGGAGAACGAAGGGGAAAGGCAGAGGGATTGAAGGAGAGAGTTCCAAAGCTTCGGGGCGTAGAGACTGAAAACGTGAGTGCAGTTTGCAGTCTGTGAAGCCGTCAGACCAATCACAAAGCCTCCAGGCAACCTGATGCCCTTCCCATCCTCTGCCTGTCGCTATAAATAGGAAATGTTTCTTCATGGGAAAAGTGCGGGGCGAAAGGTTAAACACACACTTAGAATGAACAGAGCTTCATTTAAACAGCCAATTGTCAAGTTCAGCAAGCACACTGGCTTCCTGTGACCAGAGAGTGAATGTCAGAGAGAGAGAGAGAGAGAATGTGAAAGTGTGAATGTGTGTGAGGAAGATAATGTGTGACAGAGAGATTGTGAGAGGATGTGTTTCTTAGAGTGTGAGCAAGAGAGATAGAAAGCTCCGTAGCTGATATGGGAGTGTGGACGCACAGTGTAGAGGGAGCTTTACTGTGTCTCTAACTCTGACCTGGGAGTGTGGACACACAGTGTAGAGAAAGGGTCTCTGTCTCTGACTGGGGAGATATAAACCGAGGGCAGTGTTGACTCTGTGCTGAATGACCTGAGAGCTGAGCTTCGCTGCATGAGTGAGTTAAGAGGGTCTCAGAGTCTATTACACGGTTTGAAGTTCCTGTCTTAATCTGGATTAGTGTTAATCCTAGATTTGGCCCAAAGCCACGAGGAGAGTTGAGGAGATGTGGCCTGAGCGGTGCCAGGCGAGGGCTGTGGGACAGAGAGAGTCAGCTGGAGGGTCAGACCAGTGCCTAGTCTGACCACACTCCCTGCTGGAATGTCACATACTGCCCATACTGAGCTGACTCAGGCCGGCACAGGGGGGGCTGGGGGTGGAGGAGTGAGGCCGGCACAGGGGGGCGGGGGGGGAGTGAGGCTGGCACAGGGGACAGGGGGGAGTGAGGCCAGCACAGGGGGCGGGGGGGGATGGGAAGTGATGCCAGCACGGAGGGCAGGGGGAGGGATGGGGATGAATAACGCAGCCTCTGAAATAATAACAGAAGTGGCTGGGAGCACTCAGCAGGTCAGGCAGCATCTATAGAGAAAGGAAAGTGAGTCAACGTTTCAGGTCGATGATCTTTCGTCAGACACAGCCCCTGACCTGGCAGAGAGCAGCTCCATTGTGGAGGAGCCACACGTCCCATCAATCAGGAATCCTGGACAATGGGAGGTCAGTGATCCCAGCTGCTGAAATTCTATACCAGGATGGGAACAGCCTCTACAGGAGCAGAATCCTGGCCTGAGGAGGGGGGGGGCGAGGCCATTCACAAGCCTCAACATGTCTACTCCCAGCTCTCCCCCCACCACCCCCAATGAACGTATGGGTGGGGAAGAGGGCACAGAGCGGGCAGTGAGAAGGGGCATGAAGAGTGAGAGAGAGACAGACTGAGAGATATAGGTGTTCAAGCCTGATATTGAAGGGAAAGTGTGTAAGGGTGGGAATGGTTTAGTCTGAGTGGGATGGGAGCCGGAGCAGGTTGGGGCTGTGCGAGGGACTGGATGTGAATTGATTGGCCGATGGGAATGGGAGTGAACGATTGGGAATCTCAACCCAAAACCACCAGGAATGAGCTCAGTGACTAAGCCTCGCTGCCCGGCTCTCTGTAACACTCACCAGAGCATGGGGGGGGGAGGGAGGGGGGCGATGGCTGATTCATTCATTGCGGTGAATCATGTTTGGGGAGGGGGGGGATGGGGAGAGCATCTGTGAGGAGACATGTATGTTTGGCGACTGGAACTAACTGACTGACTGTGCGTGTGTGTCTACAGCTGTGTCTCATTAACCCCCGACATACCTGCTTCTCTCTCATCTCATTTCCTGTTCCAACATTCTCTGTAAACTTGCCCTGTGATGTCTCTCTCTCTCACTCTAGTGGGGCCTCAGACAGACATTGTTTGCTCAGCACCAAACCTCCTGTAGAGAAGCAGCTTGTAGCTGGGGGCAGCCCTCTCTCTCAGAGACCTTGTTCTGTGGATGAGACGTTAAACCGAGCTCCTGTTGGTGCTGTTCAGGTAGATACTAAAGATCCTGTGGCGCATTGTTTTGGCTGACAATAACCCTGAGAAATCGTTCGCTCACCTCATGGCTGTTTGTGGGGATGTTGCTGTCCACAAATTGGCTGTTGGTTTGTCTATGGAACACCCAGTCACTACACTGGTTCCCAGTGAAGCACTTTGAGACAGTTCAATCCTGGGGCTATATTAAACACAGGCAGACAGTGCAGAGCAGCGTACACCCTTTGCCTCCAGCTTCAACAACAACAACTTGGATTTATATAGCGCCCTCCACGGCGGACAGCGTCTCAAGAGCGCTTCACAGTAATGGATCCCGGGATTCACTCCCTCATTTCAGGCAACAGAATAAGTCACTGTATCAAATGCACAGATTATCATTATTATCAAACTTGGTTTCCAATGAAAAGTTTTCCTCAGTTAAATTCCCCAAACCCTGCTTCCATCTCCCCGCCTGCCTCTCACCCTCCCACCAGCCTCTCAGAGAAGCCTTGATATCTGCTGCCATCTCCTGCACACGTGTGGTAAGGCCACATTCATTCAAACTGAGCTTTGGTGAGTTCCATGGTGACAGAGGGCTGTCACATTGATGACGTCTCACTAAGGTTTTACAGAGGCCCCCGCCTAGTGTAGTGACTGTATTTGGCAACAAATGTGGCTGACGCACAGCAACAACCCACAACAAGCCCTCAGGTGAATGGTTGATTAATCTCACCCACAAAACATGTTCACTACACTTCACAGTGAATTCTGGGAAGTGTTTTGCGTGCACTCCTGACCATGAAAGGCGCCGTATCAAACACAACAATTATTATTATTATGATAACCAGAAGCTCAGTCTCTCTCCATCTCTCTGATCAGAGACACAGATTCTGTGGCTGTGAAGCCACTCCACCTTCTCCCCAGCAGCGGCTGGTCTAGCAGGACAAGCCAAACTCCTAATGGGTTGGGTGGTCCTAGTTGGACCGGCAGTGGTAAAGCTTGCCAGACAGCAATATCAATGGCAAGCTATGTAGTTTTAGCTGGTTAGACTCCAGTTGTTACCCCAACGCACACTCTGAGCTCCCAAAGCCTTGGCTCTTGCCAACCTGCGCCTAATACTTTCTAGAATTAGGTAAGCAAGATGCGTCCCTCGTGGGAGAAAGAGAGAGAGAGAGAGAGCGCATTCCAATACATGGGGAATCTCCATGTGTAGGTAGCATGAATAACAAACTCTAAGTCTTGTTTGGAGACTGAGACTGATGATATCCCAAACCTTAGACCAAACTTACAGAGAAATCACATTTTGTCTGAACTTTATTATAAAGTTTGTAGAGATTTTTGAACAAAAAAATAAATTGTCTTTTTAATATAAGAATATAAAATTTTCCTTCACAAACAAGGTGTAAAAACAGCTGTTTACCTGAGATTGCAGGCGGTCAGCATCCAACCCCCCTTCCCAGGTCCCGGGCCAGAGATCCGCCCCCCCCCCCCCCACAGGGTCCAGTCATTGCCCCCTCCAACACATCTCCAGCTGAACATTCAGGTAAGAAAGTGTCCCGGAGAGACTGGGAGCCACAGGAATGTTAGGAATGTCCAGTCAGGAAAACTCCAGGGCGATCACGGCCTGTTGCTGAGGCAGGAGACAATCCCATCTCCCACAGAAATCCTCGCTCACATTCCAGCTTCCGCTCCCCTTGGCATCGACTGCACAAACGAGTCTCGTATCCGAGCGACTTCCACAGCACAAAGATAGCCATAAACCTGCTTATACCATTCCGGGCTCCGGCCCCTGCACAAAAACAACAGGTTAGAGACACAGTAAAGCTCCCTCTACACTGTGCGTCCGTCCACACTCCCAGGTCAGGGTTAGAGACACAGTAAAGCTCCCTCTACACTGTGCGTCCACACTCCCAGGTCAGGGTTAGAGACACAGTAAAGCTCCCTCTACACGGTGCGTCCACACTCCCAGGTCAGGGTTAGAGACACAGTAACGCTCCCTCTACACTGTGCGTCCACAATCCCAGGTCAGGGTTAGAAGACAGAGTTAGAGAGTTAGTTCTGATGGGGTGGGGTAGGTTGCGGTGAGGTGGGTGAGCAGAGGGAGGAAGGGTCTGTACCTGAGGTCAGTCCTGGAGATGTGAGTGAGCCTGCAGTGGCCAGAGCCACACGGCTCCATCAGGTACTGAGCTGTGAGCACCAGAGCCTGCACCGCTCCCTCATCCCCTCCCAGGTCCGGCTCCACCGAGGTGGTGACCAGAGCACACACACCCCTCGACAGCTCCTGCCACCAGCTCCTGTAACACAAGCCATGTGGTTAGGTACCCACTGTGCCAGCCACGCCCCCAGGCAACAGCCCCCGCCCCCCCCAGCTCCAGCCCCCACACCCTGGTGCCAGCCCCCGCCCCCTGGTGCCAGCCCCGCCCCCTGGTGCCAGCCCCCGCCCCCCTGGTGCCAGCCCCCGCCCCCCTGGTGCCAGCCCCCGCCGCCCCCAGTCCTAGCCCCCCACTCAGCTCTGGCCCCGCCCCCTCCCGGCTCTCACCGGAGCACGGTGAAACTGCGTCTGGGGTGGGGGGCCATGCTGTCCTGCACGTAATAGTAAAGGTCCGTGTTTCCTTCAAAATGCTCCAGAACTTTCCCAACCAGGAGGTCCTCATCCCACAGGTGGCGTTCCCGGAGGATGCGATTCAACACGGAACGTGGGGCTGCCTCCACCTCCACCGTGACCTTCCATAGCCGCAGGGGCGGCCCATCACCAGCCTTGGGGGGTAGGGGGGACACACACGCAAGTCAAACCATTGCAAAGCACAACACACTGAACATTTTTACAAGTGCAGCAACTGCTTTTTCCACCCAAACACCTGTGAAGCGAGTGGCAATCATAATAATTATAATAATCCTTCTATTTGATACAGCGCCTTATCATTGAGACGTCTCAAAGCGCTTCACAGAATATGCTGTAAAGTGGAGTGACTGTATATTTTGTGGGTGAAACGCGGCAGCCAATTGCGCACAGCAGCGTCCCACAAACAGTTGTGGATTGAGAGACCAAATTGCTATTTATTTTATGGAGGGGGGGGAATTATTGCCCCCAGGTAAAAGCGATCCACCGATTGACTAACAGTCGGGTTCCTGTTTACTGCTGGTAAACAGAGGTGTGTGGAGTAAGGAAACTTGCCTAAGGTTTTGCCCTGCCCGGGCCCTCTGGCTTGCGAGCGCAGTAATCATTGAGCTACAGGACTATCCTAACTAACCAGATAGTCTCGGGCTTTGACACAAAACCAGCTGCTGTACCTTTTTGTAGGAGAGTTGGGTATTGCCGGGACCTGTGGCGCTCACCCAGCCACGGAACTTCTCCTCAGCCTCTATCAGCAGCTCGTGGAAGGTGGCCTCCAGCCCAGCCTGGCATAATCTGACCGTGCTTCCCCCCCCGCTCCCTGGCACAGCCAGGGGCATCGGATGCCATTCAGCCCCCGCGTTTGAGCTCCTTACCTGGGTCATGATGTCCAGAGGGACCTGAGGGAGTGAAGGCATCAACACAGACTCAGTCAGCAACCTCACCAGCACTGAATAGGAATCAGGGGCTGAGTAATGCACAGTGTCCAGCTCTCATCCTCACATACACCCTCTCACACCCTCGCACCTCACACTCTTTCACACCCTTGCACACCCGCTCACACACGCTGGCACTCTCACAGCCCCTCAGACACAATCATACCCTCTCACACTCTCCCCAACTCTCTCCCGCCCCCCCCTCCCTCCCTCTCACTGTTGCCGTGGTGATGGTACCTGGAAAAGCCGCTTGCTCTCTGTGATCATGTGACTGAGGCCCTCGGTGGCGGCCAGGTTCTCGCTTAGGTCTCTCTGGTCGGGTTTGCTCAAAGCCGTCCGTCTGGGCAGCATCCTGCCATCATCATCATCAACATCATCATCATCATCATCAACAACACCATCATGGCCATCATCATTATCAATACCATCACCATCACCAATACCATCATCATCAACAACACCACCACTATCACGGCCATCAGCATCATCATCATCACTATCTGGACAGGACCTTGCGAGTGGGCAGCGTTAGCCACAACAACAATTTATATAGATTATTCAGAACCCTGCAACTCTTTCCTCTTTGACCTGTGCCTTCAGCTACCCTCACACCCCCACACCACTTACCCTCCACCCGTCGGAGAAGAATAGAATGGTCGACAGTGTCGAAAGTGGCAGAGAGATGGAGAAGGACGAGGAGACAGAGAGAGCCCTGGGCACAAATACACCGAATGTCATCTGTAGCTTGTACTGTGGGCAGCACAGAAACCAGACTGGAGAGGTTCACACAGGGAGAGGCAGGAGAGGAAGGACAAAGCTGAGAAGCAACAACTCATTCCAGAAGCTTGGAAAGATAAGGGAGGTTGGAGATGGGGCGGTAATTTGAAAGTAGGGATGGGTCCAGGGAAGGCTTTTTGAGGATGGGGATAATAACGGCTGTTTTTAAGGGGGTGGGATTGATGCAAGTGGAGAGGGAGAGGTTGATGATGTCTGTTAGTAGGGGAGCAAGGAGATGGAGCTGGGAGATAAGGAGAGGGTGGGGACGGGGTCGAGGGAGCAGGTGGTGGGCTAGATCCGGGCCCCACCCTCCCCCACCAGCTCCCCGCCTGACTCCCTCAACCCCCCAGTTCAGCGTGCGCGGAGGGTCTGACCTGGGGGAGGAGGCCTCCTTGCGGGGCAGGTTGAGGTGGAAGAGGGAGGGGGCCAGGCACACGGCCAGGTTCCTCGCTGTCATCTGGTTCTCATTGTCCGCAGCCACATCACTGAGGAAATACAGCAGTGATTGCAACACCTCCCGGTGCTCATCCGGCATCAGCACAATAGCTGCCTGCAACGCTGAGACTTGCTCCTCCCTTGGCACATCTGTGTATGTAAGAGAGAGGGGGAGTGTGTGAGAGAGAGAGAGAGGGGGGGAGAGTGTGTGTGTGAGAGAGAGAGAGAGAGAGAGAGAGAGGGGGAGAGTGTGAGAGAGCGAGCGAAGGGGAGAGTGTGAGAGAGCGAGCGAGGGGGAGAGAGCGAGCGAGGGGGAGAGAGCGAGCGAGGGGGAGAGTGTGAGAGAGCGAGCGAGGGGAAGAGTGTGAGAGAGCGAGCGAGGGGGAGAGTGTGAGAGAGAGAGCTCCCCTTCCCCCCCCCTGGTGCTCACGTTGGTAGATCTGGAGGAAGGTGTTGGTGAGTTTGCTGCTGAAGACGGGCTGAGGAAGGTCCCGGAAATACTGCTTGAGCATGTCGGCCACATCATACGGGGAGTGTGTGGTGTAGTCAGTATGCTCCGGCCGGCCCTCGTTCAGCTCCCGCAGCACCTGGATCCGGGATTTCACTCCCGACTTCCTGAAGATCCCAACCTGCTCCTCGGGACAAAACACCATGAATTACACCGGCTCCTTGATAGCCAACCACCACTCAAACACTGGGTCAGTTCAGCCCCCCCACTCACACACACACCCTCACACACAGCCCTCCCCTCCCCCCACACCTTCCCCCCTCCCCCCACATACCCCTCCCCCATTACACGCGCCCCCCACCCCTCCACATAAACCACTACGCCCTCACACACACGCACACACACAACAAAATGACATTTGTACAGCGCCTTTCATGTCGGGAGGACAATCAATGATTCGGAATCCGGTCGAGCGCGGGCTGTGGGGTGGGGGGCGAGGGGGCGCTCGTGAGGGGGGCAGGGGTGAGCGCGGGCGGTGGAGTGGATGGGGTGTGTGAGAGGGACTGACCTGCTGCCGGCACTGGCTGCGGAGGTAGCGGAGGGCTTGCTGGATGCCCTGGGGGAGGGGCTGCCCTGAGCGCTGCACGTTGACGATGAGTGGGACCCCAAACACCCGCTTGTCCCGGTAATCGAGGGCTTTACTCCTCCTCAGGAACCGCGGCACCACCCTGGGGGGAGGGGTGGGGGGAGCAGAGCGTCAGCCTACAGCTAGCCCACCACCATTCCCCCACCGCCCCCCCAACTCCCAGCCTCTCCCGCCTTGCCCCCACACACCACCACACTCCCAACACCCCTCTCCCAGCCTTAGCCCCTCCTCGCAATGCCGCAGCCTCATCCCATCTTCCCCCCACACCCCCATTCCCAGCCTCCCCCCTCCACTGCCCCCCATCACCTCCGCCCACACCCCACCACTCCCCCCCCTCCCTTCCCCACTGCCCCCACACCCCACTCATCCATTGTCTCCCACCTCGCCCGCACCAAGCTTCACCCCACCACCTCCAAACCCCGGCTCCCAGCCTCACACCCTCCACCTCCAGCCTTACCCCAACTGCAATGCCGCACTCTGCCCCCACTGCCAACCACCCCATTGCTGTCCCTCCCCCGCGCCCCCGGTGAGCACTGACCAGCGCCCGCTTTGCCGGCTGACCAGGCTGTGCCTCTCCATGGTGACGGTCAGGCTGAGCAGGGAGAAGCGCTGGAGACGGTGGAGCTGAGCTGCTGATTGTCGGTTTATCTCCAGCGACGCTGAGGTCACACTCGGACGGTGCGAGATCTGGAAACTGGTCCAGCGCAGCTTCCTGGTGAGATACACACACGCACAAGTGGGGCAGTGAGGGCACAGCGATGCTCCGCTTACTGGGTCCCTGCCAGGATCTGGAGGCTTTCCTCTGAATGTGGGGGGAGTGTGTGTACGTGTGCGCCTAAGAGCCGTGTGTCTGACGCCCCTCAAACAGCTGAGGCAGGAAACCACTGGTTGAGATGAAATCTGCTCCAATTGCGAGCAGCTGGGCTGGAAACGGAAACTGCTCGGCTGACTAGTGGGGGGATGGAAGAGGCTCTGATTTATTTATAACACCCCCTCACCACCACCCCCCCACACACACACAAACACCCTGCGCCCCACTCCCTTGCACACACACACACAAACTGTTTAATTCAAGTGAGATTTGAAGGTCAGATCTTATTCCAAAGAGGAAGTGCAAGCAGTTTGACAGGGCCCGGACGACGGGGGGGGGGGAGTCTTGTTTCCAATGCAGTGTTTACTGCCCTGAGCTGAGCGCACTCCCCACCTGTTGGGCCGGGTCAGGGAGGCTCCCACGCCAGAGTCACTCCTCTCCCTCATCTCCATGTCTTCGCCCTCGGTCAGTGAGGCACCGCTGGTGTCCACATCACTGCCCGACAGGGCGGGTTCCTTCTCGACCGGGCCCCCGGCCTGCAGTTCAGGCTTATCCCTGGCCGGGCCTGAGGCCTCCAGCTCAGGACACATCACCTGGGACCAGGCCTCCACCCTCTGCCTCTCCCCATTCACATGGCTCAGAACCTCGTCCAGGTTGTCGAAGGCGGGGTTGAGCGGGCAGGCCTCGGGCACGTTATCGTACACACTGTGCCGGCTGCCCACCGAGCCACAGGACCCACCCCCGCGGACACTCAGGTTCTCTGTCCTCCACCACAACAGTCGCTGGTCGTGGCCGGGGCACAGGCTCTCCAGCGACAGGGCTTTGGGGAATGTTCCGGGCTTGTGGTTGGCGGGGATGCGGACCAGCTGCTCCTCGTCCGATTGGTCATCCCAGCCCAGGCCGCAGGATGCAGCCTCCAGCTTGCAGTCCTCCAGGTAGCGGCTGCTGGTCAAGCCTTTGCGAAGCCCCGCTGTGAGGCTGGGGGCTGGGGAGTCACCTGCCTCCCAGGACTGGGGCTCCCCATTGACACTGGGTGGAGGCCTGGGGCCCTGGCCTGGCAGGACTTTGTGTAGCACGGTGCTGTGGGTGGGCTCCGTGCCGCCCTGAGCTGCTTTGACTTTGGTCTGCGGGCTCCTCCAGCGGAGAGAGTCGATGTGCCGCAGGAAGCTCTTGGTCCTGTGTTTGCGGGGCTTGGCCACAGAGTTTGGAGTGGTTTTCACGGCGACACAGGGGTCTCTGAGGGTCTGGGTGCTGAGCACTGCCGAGCCACCCCGCACACTGTCAGCGGATGTGCTGTGGCTGGAGCTCAGGTCGCTCAGCAGGCTCTCCCGGCTGCCTGGACCCCCAGGGTCTGAGCCCATGGACCCCGCGGGGAGCCGAGACCATCGCTTGCTCTCACGCTGGAACTCCCAGCGGTCACTGATGGCGAACGGCTCATCCTCCTCAGAGCCATCACCCTGAAACAACAACGGAGACATCAGCCACAGAACCGTGGAGGGGGAGAACCATGACAGAAACTCCCGGGGGTGGGGGTGTTGGGGTGTGAGGGAATTGTGACCATACCCTAGTTAAGCGTCGGCCTGGTTACCCGAGCGCCGAGACCTGACAGCTCTTTACATTTACACGGCGTGTTTCACATCGGGAGGATGTCCCAAGGTACTGGACAGTTAGGGATTTGGACCCAAGCTGGGGGTTAGGTTCAGGAGGGTGGAGGGTAGGGAGATTAGGGGTAGGAGGGTGACCAAATGTGCAGTTGAAGAGGAGCATCTTGACACAGGCCTTGAAGGGAGGGGGTGAGGTGAAGGGACTGCGGGCAGAGCGGCTGACCACCAATAGTGGGACGGGCTGGGTGGGGGATGTGGAGCAGCCCAGAGCCCACTGAGCAGAGGGAGTGGCCAGGTCCATATGGCAAAGATGAAAGGTGATGTTGGAAGAGCGTAAGCAAAACATTGCAGTTGACTCACCAACTTCCTGGTAATGTCGATATCCAGCTTCATGGAGGTAATCTGGTTCAGAGTGGTCAACCGCCTAATAACAGCGGGAAGAAAGTCAGGATAGTGAGGGGGGAATAGGGAAT